AAACCAACAAACCAAACTAACTTGCCAATGCAGCTTTACTTAACTGGGAACTAGAAATCCTAGTAAGAAAAAATGAAGTATAAAGAGGGTTCTGGATTCTAATGCAACTCCCGTTGTCAGTGGTCATTTTCATGCTCATCTTTAGATAAAGAAACTGTGAGTAAGTCACGGTCATTTCCAAGAGGCCATACAAAAACTGACCCCATCAACCTTATTCTACCTGAGAGTGTAATTTCCTTTATTGTCTTTATCTTTCTTGATGCCTTCCTAGTCAGCAAACTGGAAAAACAATTCACCCTTCCTCTGAAATCTCAACTGTGACCGCCCATTAACCTCCAGGCAGTTTCTAGGAGTGTAAGTCAGTTCTCTAACTTATATCTCCCAACACCTTGTGGTGGAGTGAACAGTGGTTTTTGTTGTTGTTGAGTGAATGCACATTTTCAGAAGGTTGAAATGGACATATATCTCAGTAACCGCAGAGGTGTCGCAGCATGGCGGAGGAGGGCTGCAGCTCTCACCTGCACAGAGAGTGACTCAGCAGTCCTGTGAGTGACTCAGCAGTCCTGTGAGTGACTCAGCAGTCCTGTGAGTGCAGCAGTGGCCTGAGTCGAACCCCTGGCGGAGCTCTGGCTTTGCAAGTTCTTCTTGTTTAGCACATTCCTTTAATGGTTTTATGAGCAACTCCCGTGTACAGGTAATGGGGTCCTCCTAGTGATCAAAGGTGACTGAGGGAGCCAGAGGTATCTCAAGTATCAGCCAGCACGGGGGTCAGTGACAGCTGACTTTCCCCAAACTTCTGCTAACACTTAATTCTGAAAGACTTCCCTAGTTCTCTGTGTGGTGTGGCCCATGATATGTGCTAGTTTTCTATTTTCCCTGCCAATAATGTCAACAGAGTAGGAAGTGCCCTGGGTGGTGTGGTGGTTTAGATGAGAATAGCCCTGTAGATGCATATATTTGAATACTCAGGCCCCAGTTGATGGAACTGCTTGGGAAGGATAAGAGGTAGCCTTGTTAGAGGAGCTGTATCACTGGGGGTGGCTTTGAGGTTTTAAAATTCACCAACATTCCCAGTGCTTCCCCAACACACTTGTGGATCCGATGTGAGCACCCAGATTCTGTGCTAGCCAACAAGTTTGCAGCTTGCTGCCACACCTCCCCACCATGACGAACTCTTAACTCTGGAACCATAAGCAAAATAAACCCTTCCTTCTATATTGTTTGGTCACAGCAAAAGAAAAGTAATGACATTCTGTTATATTCATAGATCAGTGCTCAGCCATTATCAGAGAGGCTTCCTCTGTGGTAGATGGGAACAAATACAGAGACCCACAACTGGACAATGTGCAGAGAGTAAGAGACCTTGCAACACTCAGTCCTGAATGGGATGCCATCATCAAATCTCTCCCAGGGATCAGGGAACTGTGTAGAAGAGAGGTAGAGAGACTGTACAAGCAAGAGGGGATGGAGGACACCAAGGAAACAAGACCTTCTAGGCACAGCAGGATTGATGCACATACAGACGCACAGGGGCTGTGGTAGCATGTACTGGGCCTGCACAGATCAAAGTCAGATGAGGTCCCAACTTTGAGATGGGGAAGTAGATACAAGCCCACTCTAACCCAGAAGCCACCTTTAATTGATAACCACCGGCAAAGGGAAAATTAGTTCTCTCTGATGGCGTGCTACTGGGTATACAAATCACACTTTAAGGGTAGGCCCCATGCCCAGTAGGAGATGACCAATGAATTCAACAGTGTTTTGTAGGTTTTCTGTCTCCTAATGCTTTGTGTGGGCTTCCTTTTAAACCTTACAGTCTTTTGCTTATATATCATGGTTTTGGTGTTGGTGTTTTTATGGGATTTCTGTGTGCACAAATGTGCATCTCTGTATCTATGTGCTTCATGTGCTTTTTTTTATTGGCTCTTTTTCCTATTTGTTTGTTTTGTATTATTCTGGGTTGTTTTTATATTGTTGTTACTACTGATACCTGTTTGTTTTTTAATGAGACAGAGAGAAAGGGTGTGGAATTAGGTAGATGAGGTGGATTTGAGGAGTTGTGGGAGGAGAAACCGATTTCAGAATATATTGTATGAAAAAAATCTATTTAAAAAAAAGTAACTATGATAGATGGGTTGTGTGGCTTTCCTACTTGAAGATGTGAGGCCTGAAGTAATCCTGTATGAAAACTCAACATGTGTCTGGCATGTAATTACTAAAATGAACATGTAAGCAACATACATACAGTCTTTTAAGGTAGCTGAATTTGTTTCAGAAAACGCAGTGAAGAAAAGACCCGAGCAAGTGGTTAGCTGGGACAGGCAAAGATTTATAATGGGGGTGGAGGGCATTTGGGGGATGGTTGAGCTGAGGCAGCCAGCAAAGCTATGCTGCCCCCCTGTGGACACAAGCAGTAGACCCTGTCTGAGACAACAGTTTTCCTTCTCAGCAATAAACACGACCTTTTACTTCCTGTAATTTCAAGTTGATAGCTGTTGCCAAGACAACTAGGCAGTGAAGCAAGAAACAGGAGCTTCAAAAGAAACCCTCCAACCAACCAACCAACAAAAAGCCAAATCACCTAGGTAAAATTCTATTCACTCTATCACAAAGTGTGCCCCGCCAAGGGAAATATACACATTAATAGAAAGGAGGAATCAATGTCCCGAAAGATGCTGGCTGCAGATGTGTTCAGGCTAAAGAGAGTGGAAATGTCTTCCTCAAGACTGCATGTCAAAATGACTTTCACCAAATCTCAGAACACACCAAGGAGAAGGGCAGGCCTCACTAAAAACTTACATCCAATCCCCTGCATCACTTCTTTTTTTTTTTTATTTTTTTTATTTTGGCATACTGTAAGTCTGAGGGTTTTTAAAATTCATTTTTTAAAATTTATTTTACAATACTATTCAGTTCTACATAACAGCCACAGATTCCCTTGTTCTCTCCCTTCCTGCCCACCTCCCCTTCTCCCCAGCCCACCCCCCATTCCCACCTCCTCTAGATCAAGGTCTCCCCCAAGGACTGAGATCGACCTGGTAGACTCAGTCCAGGCAGGTCCAGTCCCCTCCTCCCAGACTGAGCCAAGCGTCCCTGCATAAGTCCCAGGTTTCAAACAGCTAACTCATGCAACGAGCCCAGGACCTGGTACCACTGCCTAGACGCCTCCCAAACAGATCGAGCCAATCGACTGTCTCACCTATTCAGAGGGCCTGATCCAGTTGGGGGCCACTCAGTCTTTGGTTCATAGTTCATGTGTTTCCATTCATTTGGTTATTTGTCCTTGTGCTTTATCCAACCTTGGTTTCAACAATTCTTGCTCATATAAACCCTCCATAAACCCCATCCAAGGACTGAGGAATCTGGATGCAGACATCCACGGCTAGGCCCCTGGTGGAGCGCTGGGAGTCCAATCCCCTGCATCACTTCTAAGCCAATCAGTTTGACTAATAGGTATTTCTGTGTGGAGCTGACTGTCAAGCAGCTCATTAATCAGAATATGGTAAAGAGGTCTCTGGGTGAGGGTACAGCTAAGGCTCCTGATAAAAATGACCAAAGCATTCAAATTTACAATTAAAAGGAAAGATCTGAGGAGATTCAGATGAGTCCCTCAGGGTTTCTAAGCACTAAAGAGCTCATTCCTACATGGGCAGGAAGGAAGACACTCAGTAAATATTTGCTAAATAAATGCAACTGCCAGACTGAGAGGGTCTGCTTATTGATCTGAATGAAATTTCCGCTCCCACTCAAGCACTGAGGAGTGGAGCTCGCTGGAAAGGCTCAGTGTGTCTAGATCTAATCTGTTCACAGCAAACCCATGTGCAGCCAGCAGAGGTCAGAGCAGATTTTGCTCCCAAACTCAAAAGAGTTTTTGGTGAAGCCAAGACTAGAACTCAAGTTCTCCCCCTTGCTCCAAGGCTTTTTTGTTTCCTTGCTGTGTTAGACCTACTGTCTCTCGTCAGACCTTGCAGTTCTGAAGTAACTGTGCAAACTCACACAGTTTTTCCTTTAAATTAAAAGTGATTTTAAATCTTGGCAGATTTCTCTGTCTGCATTCTTCTAGGGGAAGATTTAGTGGCTTTGACTGAGGATTTTTACAAATAAATGAGTAGTTGTGACTACCAGATCTTGAAGTCACAAGTGCTCAGGCACATGTTGTTTTTCTGTGTAGCCAGGGTTTCTGGCCTCTCCCCCAACACACATACACACACATACACCGAGACAGACAGACACACACACACATTTGCAAGTGGTATAATGTCAATGACAGAAGGCACCACAGACATTCCTGAAACATCAATGTACCTGAATGACTAGAGAACATGCTAGCAGCTTGCTGCTGTCAATTCCCACTCATTGCTGGGGGTCAGCCTGGGTCCTGGCAGTTTCCCAACATAGACCTTACTGCTATGGAAATGCTTTACTGCCCAGGGCACTTGCTGAGGGAACCAGGAGCTTCTCAGAGATGGAGATGGTGTCCTATGCACTGAAGCTCCACACTTGACAGACAAAATTGCAGTCAACAGTTCCTGGGATGCTCCTGCCATAGCTCCTGATAAAATAAAAGGTGCTTCATACAAATCAGCTCACCTAACATTCAAAATGCTCTCAATTTTTAGCCATGGTTTTCCTTTCTTTCTTTCTTTCTTTCTTTCTTTCTTTCTTTCTTTCTTTCTTTCTTTCTTTCTTTCTTTCTTTCTTTCTTTCTTTCTTTCTTTCTTTT